TCTAGGATGTCGATGTACGCCTTAGCTCGAGGCTGCTAAATGCCGTAAGCAACGCCTCCGAACCCCCAGCCCCTAGCTAGAATTGCTTAGCCCAAACCCTTTAAACCCAAACCCAAACCCAAAGGGCCCGCGTCGCCGAGCTGGAGACCTCCGCGGCGCGTCGCGGAGCCATCGGCGGCCGCCCCTTTGATGCACAACTGGTTCCACTGTTGCCTAAAATGCTGCTTCCCTGTTATCACTAGTTAGTGTTGTGACTATGACTAATAGCATTGTTGTTGATAGTTGTTTTTTATCATCACTGTGCTTCTTTTGTTTCTTTTCATTGCTTTTTTATAGCTATTGTTCTTACTGTTTTTGTTTTGCAAAGTTTTTTATATACTGTGTTTTGCAGTTGTTGTTCTTGTGGTTGTGGTTGTGGTGGTGGTGCTGGTGGTGGTGGTGGTGGTGGTGGTGGTGGTGGTGTTGGTGGTGGTGGTGGTGGTGGTGGTGGTGGTGGTGGTGGTGCTGGATGATGGTGGTGGTTTGTTTGTCAGTTGTTGTGGTTGTTTTAGGTTGTTTCGTTCAAAAGAAGGTTTGGTCGGCGCTTCTGCGACTGTTTTGGAGGTCGGACAGTAGTAGGGTTTGACAGGAAAGCAAAATTGTTTCAAGGGTTTGACAGGATTTGTGGAGACTTTTGTAGATTTTGGAAGGAGTTTGGCGCATGCGCCGGGTTAAACAATGTGAGGATGTCTTGAGACTACAATAGAGTTTCTACATCAGGAATTAGATTAGGTGTCGCTCCCATGCAGGGTTTTGGGGGTGTTGCGACGATGCTGCTACATCAGAGTCTTACATTCAGGCCCTGTATGCTCACACTCCCATATCGCATGTTGCAATCCATAGATGTCCGGTTAGGCCCTATAGGACCTTCCCAAAGAGCAGCGAGGTTGAGGGTTAGTTAGACTTAGGGTGACGGTTGTGGACAGCTTGAAGGACACATCAGCTGCAGCAGAAGGACAAGCAATCACCCCATGGCCTGACATCGCTCAATCCTGAAACGGCGTTGAGCTCTGAATATGAAACTGCTATAGTTTTTGAGGGGCTACAGTGTAGCCATGGTCCATGATACAAAGCCGAAAGCACGGGAAAGCCGCTGCTGGGCCCTGCACCCAGAAACAGAAACTGGATTACAACCAGGGTGTGACAGGGACGACCGCTTCTGGCTCCCCCTCCTTAATGCCCGAGCTACCAAGTCGGCACTGCAGAACCGGTGGGGCCTCGAAGCTGCTACAGTTTCCAAGTCTAACTGCACGTCTCACAGCCTTTGCCTCATCACCTAGACCGTCTAGACCAGCAGCCTGGCCTAAACTGCAAACGGCTCCATTTATGAATCCTCAAACGTTCTTCGAAACCTATGGCCCGGAGCCTCGTAGCAAGTCGGGCGCAAACTATCCGGTTCGATCGACCCCCGATAAGGTCAAAGGGTCGGCGAGACCTTGGACGAAAAGGCTGGGGCTTCACATGCGTTTTGAGTTTAACAAGTTTTCGCCAGGGTTCACGGCTTGTGGGTTCATAGCCAAGAATAGCTAGTTCATAGTATTGCTCCTGAGGGACCGCAAGGATACTTGCAGTATTCTGTACTGCTATGTCCCCCACAGTAGGGCTTGCTGCGTCTACATCTACTCGCATTAGCACTAACCCTAAACCTTCAGCCCAAAACCGCACAAACGCAGGTCTTGCTCGTCTCGTAGTTTGATCATTTCTATCGCTATGTTCTGAGACCCTAAAACCAAGACCCTAAACTCTAGCTAGGCTTTAAAGAAAGACCCCCCAATTAACTTCACCTTCTGCAGGTTCAAAGCGAATTGGAACGCAAAGACCAGGAGGTTCGAACGATGCGCGAGGCTGTGATTGAATTAAGCACCTTGGATTCCTTTAGGGTTTTATGTGGTTTACCAGGGTTTGGATTTGAAGTGGGCATTTGGGGCTTGGAATCATGAAGTGATTTCGTTTTAGGACAAGTTCGGGTTTGGAGTTTGGGGTGGAGCGGTTCAGGATTGTAAGATTTAGTGTTTGCGGTTTGAGTATTGAGAGCACAGCGCAACGACCGAGATGTATGCAATCGACGGACCCCTTGCAGTATGCGATTAGAGTAGGGCAACAGGGTTGGAACTTTCACGCTCCTGGAGAAATATTGTGCTATATCCGTGCGCAGTTTCCCAAGTCCTCCGGGTTTCCTATGTATTAACTAATTTACAGCATGTAGCACACTTCCGCATTCACACCCGAACCCCGAACCAAGCCCAAACTGCAGCCCCAATACTATAACCGAAGCCCTAAGCCCTTAACCTACCACCCTGCACCAGGAACCCTAAACCGGCGACCCGAAACCCCAAACCATGTATCTCCCAAAAACACCAGCACCGAAGACAAGGTGCTCAGATCACTCAGAAGGAAGCTTTGCTTCTCGACTGCCAGGACTAAGTTCGTGCTTGAAGAGGTTCACAGGTTCAGAGTTTGGGGCCTACGGGTTTGGGAAAGGAGATTCATAGTTGTAGTTATGGTGGTGCAGAGGGAGGAGTAGGAGCGGGAGGGGGGAGGAGGAGTAATAGTAGCAAAAGCAGTAGTTAGATTTAGCGGCACTGGTAGTCGTAGTATTGGGCAGGGCTCGTTCCCTTCTGGGCCCGCGAAGCATCGTTGCAGACAGGTGCACTGAGCCTCTAAGTGGTTTAAGTAATGTGTCTCGAAGAGACCCTACATTAGCCCTTCATTCCTAAAACTCCGTACTCGATGATGAAGGAGCCCCAGTAGCCAGCCGTATGGATACAAGATCCCTGTCAGCCAGCTGTAACAGGTACAGCATGGGTCAGAGTCCCCTAGACGATGACCCGACATCAAGCCCTAAACCCCGAACCAGCAAGCAAAAATCACCCTTGCCCTATAGTTGGATGTTCCGGCTAACATAACCCCATCATGCCTTCACACGTCACATTATATTTGATCTCATTGGCGCAAGGCTGTCAAGTACTCAGAGCCCCCACACGTAACAATACACGACGAAGTACTGAACTCACTAAACTCTGAATCTCTCAACCTCCGCAAGCAAGAACCCTAAGCCTCAACAGAAGCCATATAATAATTGATGAAGTCCTAGCAAAAGGTTGCAGAGCCCAATCTACACCCCATCAACACCCATGAGCAAAAGAACATAGGAACCCTAAAGCGACCTTTACCAGGAGCGCCTAGCCGAAGCGGCTACGCGTCACTCAGCACTCTCCAAATTGAAATTCTGGATGCGTTCCTTTGGGCTTCCTTCGACAAGGTGCTTGAATAGGTCCTCTATGTGGGGTTTAAGGCTTCGGGATTCCATCGGCTCTTGCAGGGTTTAGTGCTTGGGGGTTTGAACTAGGGGTTCTTTCAGGGTTCCATTTATGCCTACTCTAGGATTATCAGGGGTTCGCTTGGGGTTCGTCTCAGAGGTCATATGGGTTTTTGAGGTCGAAGAGTTGTGGATTCGGGCTCAGAGGCTTGCATAGAGAGCTGTTTATAAGGCATAAATCAGGTTTGAGTCGGGTATTACGAGTGTCGTGTAAGAGGCTTCGGGTTTAGGACTTTCGGGATTCGGGCTGTAGGATATTGAGGCAGAGAAAGCACGGGAGAGAGAGAGAGAGAGGGAGAGAGAGAGAGAGTGTGTGTGCGTGTGTGTTTGTGTCTGTCTGTGTGTGTGTGTCTGTTTATTCGTTGGTTGAGGCTCGCAAGCGCCGACAAGCGATCTTCGAAATGGACGTGCGCCACCTGCCCCAGCAGCGGAGAAGCACTACCCAGGCAACATAGTTATAAGGGGGGGGGGTGCGGAATCATGAGTTACTGTATCCCATTATCGTTCCCAGGTTCTCTATTCTCGAATACACCACCCCCGAAAATCTTATCTAATCAATGCGTTGCTTATACCGGGTCCCAGTATCGAGGGTGTGCCGGACTTTCTCCAGGGCCTGTTGCAGAGGTGCGGATGTAGTTAGGGCCCTGAAAAAGGAGTGATCTTGTTCCAATGGTTCCCTGAGAACCTATAGTTAGATCGCTAGAGAAGTTCTCCCAAGAGCCTGGGAGACGATCCCGGCCTGGATCGCTGTTTCCGTAAACTCCACCGGGCCTGCACCCGGCGAGCCGCTTCGGATTCGAATTCGATAAACCCCTAAAGCCCTATACCCTGATTTAATAAAGTGCTACCTCTAAAACCCCCGAACGCTGAAATCAAAGCCCAATGCGAGGCGGCTGGAGACCTCCTGGAGCTAACGTAACGGCGAGCTCGATGTCAGAGCCGGCCTTCGCGGTGCCTCAAAGATGCAGAGCCGGTGCTTTTCTTGCGGGGCTTGGAGTCCAAGTTTTAGGTGGTTTGGCTGGAGTGGGTGTTGTAAGGTTGGGTTGTGGGGTATGTAGTTTTAAGCTGTGTGTTCTCTGTTTTTTGAGGCCAGTGCCAGGTGCCCACAACGCGCCAGTTCAGATGTGGCAAAATACAGCAGGGGTTTCTGTCAATCAGGGATCCTCCAGGTGATGAACCAGCTAATTCATATTTGCAGTCGATAGTACCTGATTTTCCGATTGGAGCTCCTGAAGCATAGCCAGAAAACATCCCTGCTGAGGCTGCAGCTCTCTCAGCATCCAGACCGAGCACATGAGTAGGTCATGTATGTACGCATACATGGCTACCAGAAGATTGTAGAGCCCCACCATCGCCATGAGTACTCTGCCGGCTACCATTCGTGCCATGCACAATCTGGGCATTCAAGGACACGCTGTGCAAGGTGGCCATGCAGAACATTGGTTTTGCATATTACAACGTGGAGGACGAGTTTGCGGTGGCTTCAAGAAGACGCTGGCTTTCCAGACATGCGTCATCAAGCAGAACAGAGACTCATCAGGCCGGGGGCATCCGGATCATCAACGGGACAGGTTGCAGCTAATGCATTTTACCCTGCGTGATGGTGTTCATGGGCGCGAAGGACAGGCTGCACTAGGTGGCCATGTTGAGCATTGTTGGTTTGGAGGACACGCTCACATGTTTGCGGCTGGCTTCAAGAAGACGCTGGTTTTCCAGCCGTGCGTCAGCAAACAAAGCAGAGTCTCGGCAGGCGAGGGCATCTGGATCATCAAATGGAAAGCTGGCAGCTACTGCACTTCATTCGATGTGCTGGTGTTCCTGGGTGGGAAGGACAAGCTGTGCAAGGTGGTCATGTGAGCATTGGTTGGAGGACACGCTCGTTTGCTGCTGGCTTGCCAGACGTGCGTCGTTAAGCAGAACAAAGGCTCGTCAGGCAGGGGGGGCACCTGGCTGAAAGCTGCAAACATGTCGTGCAGAGATGGGTTATGTACAGAGGACGAGGTGTTGGATTTGATGGCCTTGACTTCGCATGCCCAGAAGCATGGGCGGCACCCGCTCCACGTTGCAAGTGAGCGAAAATGTGCGGTGCATGGCTTACATTCTTACATGTGACTGAGTATCAGAGCCGGTTGTGTTTCCTGTTGTTGCAAAATGTACATGGGAACTTGCTTGACCCGGGCTGAATCCAAGGTGCCAGAGGCCAAAGATGCTCCTCGGCGAAATCAGGGTTGAGAGTTTGCGGAGCTTAGAATTCAAAACGTTTTGGGTTCGAGGGCTTTGGATGTAAGCTTCAGGCTAAAGCTTTCGAGTTGAGAAATCATGATCATATAGTATCATAGGCATGACCATCTTTAGCGTGAGAATACTTGTCGCAACCCTTGCCATGATACTACTGCCTTTTCTTGCTTGATGAAGATCAGGAGCAGCAGCACCAACAGTAGAAGAATCGTGCATCGGCTTCTTTGCAACGAGTGTTTGAGCTTCTTCGGGGCTTTTGTTCTGACGAATCCCCAACAGGTTCACCGGTGCCCGATCAATCTTCGGCTAAACCCACGACGCAACACCGTAGTTGAGCCCAACATTTTGAATCACCCGAAGGCCGAAACCAAAGCAATTCAAACCCGCCGTGGGAGGCGTGATGGCAGATCAAAACAACACAGCCAAACAAGATATAATTACACCCAATCTAGAACATCTTACAGATTCATTTCACAACACAATAAGCCCCAAAAACCCCACAAAAAGAAGCTTGCCTAGGCCTCCGCGTCACGGCACAGTCGAGAGCGACGTTCAGGCCGGGTTTATCCGAATCCTGTTCGCTGAAGTTTGCATCCGCTGCCTCTGCAACCCCACCAATCCGACGACAACCATGATGGTTTACGGTGAACCCCAAAAGTTGGAAACCGGATGAAGGCCAAATAGTGCTGGGATTCCCTATACATTGCACTTAAGGATTGAGGCTATTAGGTTTCCAACTTTTGGGCTTCTACTGTAGTCTAATGTTTGGGGCCATGTAGGGGCTAGGGCCTCCCGAATCGAAGGTGGCGATGTGGAAGACAGTGCTGACTCCTTGCAGGCCTTGTGGTCCCAGTGGGTCGTCACGGGGCCGCATGGTGTTCACTTTTTTGTGTTTTGGCGGGGAGGGTTTATAGGGTTCAGGCTGTAGGGTTCTAGAATGGTTTTGCAGGGTTTCAGGGGGTTGTATAAGGTTTCCAAGGGGGTGTTGTCAGGACTGTATGCATGAGGACAACGCGTCGCTGGCGGGGAGTAAGCCTAGAGCCAACCTTCTTACGTCGAGATTGCTGGGTGTTTTCTGGGCTTCACTTTGGGATGAAGGTTCCCTAAAGCCTGGCGTGCTTTGCGCGACTTCGGGTTGCCCTATAGGGCGACCAATTGCAGCAACATCCAGCATTTTCCCAGCAGTTGAGCTGCAGGTTGGGGCTTCAAGCGATATAGAAGCCTAAGTTTTGGCCAACATTGCTCGTTTGTGTAATTCTTCGGCCTGTACTTCCCTTTAGTCTACTTTTGCTTCTTCTAGCGTCTCACGCGTTTGCCTTGTCTTCAATCTGCCTTTCCCCCCCCGGGGCCTCGGGGGATGGATAAAGGTGGCAGACCTGTGAGGCCCATACAGTTTAGGATTTAGGGTTTAGTTTTTCTTACCTTTAGGTTAGTAGGGAATGGAGGAATGGGGTACAATTATGACTGCTATTACTACCATTCTTCCATCCCCTACTAACCAAAGGTAAGTAAAGTTTTAACTCTGAGCTCGGTTGGGGGTACAGGGCTTCATGACCGTCGTGGGTGATGGTTGGGGCTCTATATAAAGGTTTTTTTGGGGTAGGGGCTTTCTGGATCCCTTCTGGATCTTTTTGAGTTCAAAGTTTTAAAGGTCTTGTAAATTCTGGTTCGGGGTCCTCCAATACAGGGGCCTAAACACTTACCCATACTACCTTGGGGGTTCCTTACTATAATTAAAGTATCATGGACCCCAAAACGCTGCTCTAGTTATCAAGGCCATTCAGGGCCCCTATATCAGAGTACCGTTATAGATCCCTTACAGTAGCCCTTTAAGGACCTTTTTAAAGGAACCTTAGCCTAATCATTAAGGCACCTATATCCGAGTACCCTTATAGATCCCTTACAGTAGCCGTTTAAGGACCCCTTTAAAGGAACCCTGGTTTAATTCTTAAGGCCCCCATATGATAGTACTGGCCCCTACATTATAGTACCCTTATAGACCCCTTATAGTTAAAGTAACCCTGGTCTAATTATCAAGGCCCCTGTATTGGAGGCTTGATCTCCGAAGCCCCGGACCAAGGCCAGAGCAACCGCCTCGTCACATTGCGGCGGCTTCGCTAGTGACAGTTTCTTTGGGGGGAGGGGGGGGGTTAGTGCTCAGGGTTTAGGGATTTTGGGGTTTCGGGGTTTTTCGGGCTTTAGGGGTTTTGGGGTTTGGGGATTTTAGGGGTTTAGGGTGTAGGGTTTGAGGGTTCAGGGGTTTAGGGCTTTGGGTTTAGGGTTTACGGGCTTACAGGTTTAGGGCTTGGGGTTTAGGGTTTAGGGGTTTAGGGGTTCGGGGGTTTAGGGGTTTAGGCATTAGGGTTTTGGTTTAATTTAGGGTTTATGGGCAGCGTTTCCCTTGCCTTCAATATTCACACATGTGTGCCAAATAGTATGTAGATCCAGTGATATAATGGGGATCATGACCTCTAGTTTGCAGGGTGTCCTGGCTGCATGCAGGGTTTGTACACAATGTGTGGTTGAGTGCTTCGCAATCTTCGAGTCCAGGGTGTCAGAGGGAATGATTTAACTTCAGCTGATGGCCTGGACCGGACATCCCAAAGAAGCTGAAGTCTACACGTTGGGTTGTGGTACCCGGTTTTCTTGCAACAAGACACAACACTAGCGGGGTCCATGATTATGCCAGTGAGGAGTACGAGCTGTGGTGATGACAGTCATGGCAATAGCAACGTAGCAGCTATAGTGCTGATGGTGGCGAGGGCAATACCGGTCGTGCAGTTGATGATCTCCAAGAATTGAAACCTAAACCCGAAAGTCTGGGCCACTATTCCTAAAGTTTAAACCCCGAAGATCCACAAGGTTCATCCCTGAATCCGGCAGCCGAAAACCCTGCACCAAAACTTGAAAGGTCCAAGAAGCAACAAGCAAAGCTATTTCGTAAACAGAAGCCCCCATAAACCCCATGATAGACCATAAATCCCGAAACTTTACATATGCACCCCAACCCCCCCTCCCCCCAAACGCTCTAATCCGCAAGGGTTTCTCTTAGGCCTCCTCCACCTCGCCGCCCTCAGCGCCGCTGCCAAGCGGCTCTTCGAATCCCTTGGCCTCCCGCAGGCAGCCGTCTCCAGAAAAGCTTCCGAGAGTTTAGGGTTTGGAGTTTAGGGCTTGGGCTCAAGGCTATCACGTCCTTCCAACCTTCAGGCGATTGCGCAAGTCCGGATGCAAAGTAAGGGCCCTTCTGTTTAAGAATGTTCAGCAAGGTTTTGGAAGGTCTTACCTCAATTTGTGTGTTTATTTATTTTTCGGTGGAGGTTTCGCAACGTGTGCAGTAAGGGTTTGTACGGCTCGCACTCTAAGCAAACGGCCTTGGGATATGTAGAGCTGAATGTTGGGGTCGGCAGGGGTTTTAGCCTTTCGGGATGATGTTGTTTTGCAAGCATGGGGTCTACATCTTTGGCTGAGCCCCAAATCGTAAGCCCTGCACCGTGTCGGTTGTATGAGTCTTGAGATGCACCGCCTAAGTCCGATATGAGCTCTTGGGAAATTCTTGGATTCTAGGCACAACTCTTGAGCTGGGTTGTTGCGGTGCAGAGGATGGCCTGTGGAGGTTTCGTCCAGCTCAGTTCGGATTCCGGTTGCAATTAGTCGTTTATCCACGCGGAACCTTGTGTAGCATGTGTAACCCTGTCCGCCCTCCAGTCTGGAAGTTCCTTCAATATGGGAGCCTCAACACTCACTTGTTCTCGCTTCTTGATGGCCACAGTAAACTCTAAATCCAACTCTATACACGCAGGCTAGCCGATCGGACCCGATTCTAGTGATTCAGGCCCCAAACATTGCACCGTCAATTCCCAAATCCCACTCTCTTGCAGTTCTTTCGGACCCCTATAAGTTTTGTAAGACTCAGGGACCGCGGGACCAAGCAAGACTTCATTTTGCATCTAGGCTTGAACCCCTGTCGGCTGTTTCACTACCGACTTTTGGCTATTGATTTCTGCGGTCGGGATGATGAGACCCGGCTTCCGGTCAGATTCACTTTTGTACAGGTGCCCATACAACAGTCCTCCAGTCTACGTCCTCATCCTCATCAATGTCAAGACCCTCATCAGTCACCAGTCTAGGGATCAGAACAGCGAGTAAGCTAGTAACAGTATGCAATTGGAGTGATTTGCCCTGTGCAAATTCGACATAATTAAGCTAGCGCCATAGACCTTAAACCCCTCCGACCCTAGAATATGCCCCCGATCCAAGGCTCAAGGCTCGGGTTCTTCAGCCCCTGCTTTGCCAGGAAGAGGGCGCTTTGAAGCTGGCTACAGTGGATTGCACCGCGGCAAAGTTCTACGGCAGAACTAGGTCGAGGATGATTAGGGTTTAGGGTTCCGTATCAGGGTAGCTTAGATTAAGTTCCTCAGCAAGAACCCTAAGCCCAAAAGACCCTAAGCCCCAAACCCCTAACCTTAAACTCTATAATTAACCGCTACTTTGCTGATGATGCTGGATCCCAAAAACCCTAAGCCCCAAACCCCTAACCATATAAGCCCTGCTTCAAGCCATGATCCTGGACCCAAAGACCCAATTTGTAAGCCCCAAACCCCTGACTCTAAACCCTTTTACCCCTGCTTCAAGCCACGATCACTCAACCCAACAGGCTCCAAACTCCAAACCCTAACCCTAAACCATATAACTTTAACCTATATTAATATATATATATATATACACATGCACACACACATGTAAACATGTATAAAACATGTATATACATATATATATATATATATATACTATATATATACACACTTATTTTTATATATGTATGTATGTGTATATATATATACACATACGTCAACCCATGAAGCAAGGTGGCCCTGCCCCGAGCCTTTGGGTCTTCGCGCGGCAGTCGGATCAGACAGCGGCCATCGAGATCTCCGAGTCGCAGAGCGAGGGCCTCAGCCGGGTTAAGGTGGGGCACTTTGTCTTGCTGTTTCTTCCGTTCGAGACTGCACGTTCGTTTCGTACTGTCTAGGGCGAGTCTGGGTCTTAAAGCGTAAAGTGTAGGACTGAAAGAGTTTGGTGTTTTGCGTTTCAAGCTTTGTTTTTTTTGCGTGTAGGGTGTAGGTTTAGGACCAGGAATGCAATCGGACTGGATGGCTTCAGTTCTGGGTTTGGTCAGGGGTCAGGGGACCCGGGTTCTTGGCAAGGAACTCATTTCGAGTTTCCAAAGTGAAGCCTTAAAATCCTGAACTAAAGACACTCCCAAACCCTAGATCCTGCGATTTTATACGTATGGTGTTTACATTACTTTCCTAACAAGAATTCGCGGGACCCCGGGCAGGAGGATCCCCTGAAGAATCGCAAGACGCCCGAGGTCGACTGGAGGCAAACGATGCTGAGTCTTTGCCTCAGATGAACACCAGGGTTAAGGGTTTCGGGCAGTTTGGTAAGGGCTTTAGGGTTACTGCTTATCCGGCTTGTGAGGTTTAGGGAAGTTTAGGGCTTACAGGGTTTGCTGGAAGATTTGAGGATTGTAGGGCATCTTACACAAAACCCCGAACCCTTAAACCTGTAAATCTTAGCGCCACAAGTCGAAGCCTCTGCACTTCGGTTTCCACTTGCCCTGCAGCCCCTGTCACGCTGCCTTGCGGATTCTCCAGGCACTTAGTTTGCAGAGGGACTGCAACATCCGTCCACCATCGATGATGTTTTGCTTTGGGGGTAGGACAATGTGGTTTTGCCTTCCTGGAATCGCGAATCTGACCTAGCCCCGAAACTCCCAACCTAAATTCCTAAACACTAAAGCCTGGATGTCGCATCGGGTATCGAGGTGCTGCTTCTTGATCTTTGGCTTCGGTGGTCGCATGAGGCAGGTCCACCAACCCACGGCAGCTTTTGGCTTTAGGGATCAGGGGCTTGGGGTTTCACCAGTAGAAACCAGGGTTTGGGGTTCAGGGCTAAAGGCCCCAAAGACTGCAACCCCCTTGTCCTCACGCATTTTTTCGGAGTCGAGGATGCCCTGAAGCCCCGAACCCTAGACGGCAGAGCATGTTTTCAGGGGGTGCTTTGCACTGTAAATATGGAGGGACAGTGCGATTGCTAAGAAGCTGACCAAAAATCAACACCTGAAAACCCTTACGCTGCCAGATCTCGACACCCCAAAACCCCAAACGTCCGAAGCCCCAAGCTTACTATAGGAGGGCTTATAGAAGCGTGTTGGGAGTGCCCCCTGTGCCAGAAATGCCAAGACGCTTTCCCTGGCTTCCTTGTGCGATCAGGAGCCCGCCATCGGATCGTCCGCACCTCAGTGAAGGCGATGTACTTGAGCAGAGCACCGAGCTCTGAAGTTGGGATGTACCCCAAATAGTAGGATCCTTATTGTAAGGACCCCCAATAGGGTACCCCTATTTTTCGGAAACTCCCAATTATCAATTAGGGTTTAGGGTTTCTCGAAAGTTTAGGGTTTAGGATCCAGGTTGCTTAGGATGACATCTGTTGTGCGTCTTTCCATTGGGCATGCGCATGATTGCTCCTGCTACTATCTGTCCCACTCCTCCTACTGCTCTTGTTTCTGCATTCTCATGATCAGTCAATCTCAGTAGCAGAGTGTCTTCGGTATAAGGGGCAAGAGGCTTTGGGCACTACACTCAACACCTGCATTCTATCTATCCCCCTAGACCATTTAGGCCTTCATTTTGAGTGCTACGGTTGATGGAGGAAATCTTGCACCATCTGCCTAGTAACAGGTGACACGACACTTGAGCATAACCCCGCACCCCCTTCTTAACATTGAAGATGATGGATACCGAGGTGGTGCAAGATTTTTGTCATTGGAACCCACGGCACTTCCGAGGATCACCGGTCAATGTTAAAAAGGGGGCGTGGGGTGTCTGCTTGGCTTGGCCGCTTAAACTGGTGCAAGATTTCCTCCATCAGCAGTAGGACTTCTAAACTCTACGCCCCAAACCACATAGTATACCACTTAAACCCGCAAACAGCTGCGTGTTGCCTTTCCACCTCCAAACCTGCAAGCTTAGGGATTGGACTTTAGGGTTCGAGGGTTTAGGCTAGGCAGCTTTGCTCTGGGGCTTTGGAAGCTCAACGGGCTTAATAATTACCTATACTATTTTGGGGGCTCCTTATTATACTTGTGGTATAATGGGTCCCCAAACCCTATTCTAATTACTAAGGCCCCTATATTCTGGTGCAAAGGATGTGAGACGAATGCCTAGACCTTCGACTTCTCAGCCCGGCCCAAACGACCGCTACTCCCACGAGGGAATGGTGTGAAGGGAAGCCGCCTTTTGTAAGGGTAAGGAATATCAGGCTTGTATTATAAGGTTCGTATTATCAAAGTGATGCTACACTGGTAATAATCATAGCGCTTTTGCAGGGGTGCGTGTGGTTCTTGAGTATTGGTCCTCAAACTCCTACTAGGCAGGATCGTACTGCTCATGTCTGCTGCAAGTGTGCTTGTAGCAGCAGCTGAGGTCCGGATTTCGTGGTGAATTGCAACTTGATCCGCAGCACGGCGGCGCCTAGCGATCAGTTCCAGAAGTGGACGCCCGATGGCATCCTAGACCTTCCTCGGATGGGGAGCCCACCCTTTGGGGAAGGTTCCTACCCTAAAACGTCTTATTGACCATCGGCTTCAGGGTTCAAACCTGTAGACCTTACATCGTTCATCAAGATCTTGATTGTAAGAATTCCACTGCATACAGTACACTGTAGTCTCTTGTTGGAGTCTTCCAGGGTGTGCTGCGTCACTCACGAAGCTCAGACCGTGCAAAACAAGTTGGCATCGTTCGTTGCTGGTTTGGTTTGAGGTTCAGGGTCATGAGGGTCATGCTTAGCTTTGACGTTTACAGGCGTTGAGCGGGATTTCGGCGATGAGGCTTCTTGTCTAGAGGGTTCGAGTCTGAAGCTTATAGGCATTCTTATGGGCTTGAACTAACTCTGTGTAGACCTTGATCATTGGTAGGATCATTGAGGAGCATTCAGTTCCCCAATGCAGAGCCTTGACTTTTTTCAGGCCTTTCGGGGCCAATGTGGAAGCTTCTATATAAATATACATACAGAGCCCTATGTAAAGCTTCCGGATCGGAAGAGGGTGCCCCAAAGCAAAAGCACGCCCAACATCCTTTTGACTTCTGGAAGGAAGGATGCTTTCGTGCGCCTTGGCTACTTTGGGCTGTCTGCAAGAGCTTATATACTCTTTCACGGGTATACCCCGTAGAATTCTGGTGCCATACCCACTAGGAATTACAATGGGTGAATTGGGCGTCAGGGTTTCGATCCGTCCGGTGTGCAGGACGGATGGTTGATGTCCTCTGCGGGGGAGAATGCGCAAAGCGCGCCAACGGCTAGCCCCTGAACTTGTAAGCTCCCCCCAGCCCAGCACTTGAACTTTTTCGATTGAGGTTACTTTAAGGTGAGATTTCGTGGGTTTAACATTGAAGTACGATCCAAGCAGGGCCAAAGATCCATCTGGGAAGAAGTGGCTCAGACTTGGCATTCAGGCTTCCGGGTTTCGGGTCCAAGAGCCTCAGGAGTCTAAGGTTCAGGCTCGAGGATTTAGATTGCCGTTTTGGACCTGGCGCAGCCGGCCTGGTGTCATGTTGTTGAGCTTTGGGGTCTACGGCTTTTAGACTTTCCCGCCTTCAACCCCACAGTATTCCCACAGACGAGGCTTGACCTCCTGATCCTAAAGACCCAAGGATAGCGTAAACGCCCTTCAATCTACAAAAGATGGAACCCAACACTCCAAGCAACACAAGCCAACCTAAACCCTAAACCAACCCTTCTTCAGCAAAAAGACGGAACCAAAAAAAAATCCAAACCCTAAATCCCCAGACCCTGAACCCTACCCTCCACCAAGCCCAAACCCTTAGATCCCAAACCCCCCCAAATCCCCTAAGTCCCGAACCCCCAAACCCCAAACCCAAAAACACTTGGTGGCTGAGGAAGTGCCACTTGCTTGAGGCAATAGACGCCGGACGGCGGAGCCAAAAATGATCGCCGTTTTGTTTTTGTTCGATTTAGGGTTTAGCGTTAGGTTGTAGAGTTTAGGGTTTAGGAGTCCGGGTTCAGGTTTTTAGAGTTCGCGGTGCGGAGTTGGGGTTTTGTTATGTGTGTAGTTCTTTGGGTCCGGTTGAGGGTCCTGTTTGTAAGGGTGCCGTCTTTAGGGTTCCTGAAAATGGACCCTAATTTGGAAAGCTACCCATGCATGTGCTTTGTCGCGCAAGAGGTTCAGGGCCTTCAGGGATCGTGTTCATAACATTTATCCACCAGGCTTTGTAGGCCCTTGTACGCGAAAGTTGGTGCATGACTTAGTAGAAGCTTTGCAAAGATACTGTTCTGCCTTTGCTGAGCAAGGCCAGACCCTTGGACAAAAACCCATCGAGACCGCCGCAACAGCCAAAACCCTAAGCATTTCCAATTTTACCCTAAGCCTGAAGTAAAGCTCGAATAGGGGTTTAAGTTTAGGTGCCGAAAGCTCCGACACTTCTCTCGCCAAGGCTCGACCCGACCAGAGCCCTAGTGAATTTCAACTCCAAGTTTCACAAAGCCGCTACTCCTAAAGTCTAAGGAAGCCTCTTTCCCCAAACCGATGCCAAACCCTGAACCCGAAACCAAAAAGCCCACACTCGAAACCCTAAGCTCGACCCCAAAATACCCTAAACACCACGCTAACAAAGCTTTACAAGCACAGACCCGGCGACTGGGCAGGTCGGATAAGCCAAGTCGCAACGCTCTCAGAGTCTTTTCAATCCGTTTCGGGTTAGGGTTTACGGTGGGGAGGAGAGAGGGGGCTCCGTAGCGGCTTCGTGAAGCTTCCGCGCGGGCTTAGGTTTTAGACTTTTTGGGCTTCAAGGCTGTGACTGTAAGATTTGGGGGGTTTAGGGTTTGTGCAACCAGGGTTTGGGGTTGGAGGTTTAACAAATGCGATCTTTTGGGGTTGTTGTGTTTAATGGTGGGTTGGTGCGAAACGGTGACCATACTCGAAAAGCCCGCGTACTTATACAAAACTTTCGTAGATGGTTGAGGAGTTGAAACCACAGTTGTCCTGCACGGACTTTAACATCTTGGGCTTGATACATCCGTGACACAGCTAAGATCGATTTGATAGCAAACGTTGTCTCTGCATGGACATTTCACGTAACTGCATCCCTTCCGAGAGGCATCACCTTCTCAATGGGTTCATACATCCCCAGAGGAGCAAAGTTTCAGATGAGGACGACAATCAGCGACTCGTTTGTATACCGAAGGTTGAACCTGTATGTCCCGCCATTCACTGGCATGCCTGACCCAGGCCTCATGCCCAATTTCATTGCTGCTTTCAGTACACGCACCAATCGAAGGTCACACATTCGTATTATCAAGGCAGCAGGTTCTTAGCTGTACATAGCCGACAGCTCCAACAACTCCAATGAGGTCGCCCATCATCCAAGAAGGTGCAGTCTAACGCAGACTCTCTCGTGCTTGGCACTAAGAGCTCTGCGGTGGAATTCCAGTGTGCAGTTGAAAACTTTGACATGGGAGTAATGTTGTGATATTTGAGACCTGCCATTTGATAGATAGCCGTCTGCAGAATGCGTTCCGACCATCACTGCAAAGAGAGCTGCACAATCCTAAACCTTAAGCCCCAAACCCCGGAAAGCGACCCCAAACCCTAAAAATGTGAGAGTTGCTTAAAGTTTGGTTGCTATCGAATTCGAGGCCTATGTATTGTGACAGGACTTTTTTACATTATCAGTAATCTCGAAAAGCAGCCCCGCACTAAAACCCCCATGCCCTGAACCCTAAACGCTCGACCACCCAAATTAGCAACTTCGTACGCATCCTGAGCGGGTGGAAGTTGCAGGGATCCAGGAAGACCTCAGCTACTGAAGCTTCTATGGTTTAGGTGTTGAGGGTTGTACCAGACATAGCGTCGCCAATGGATACATCTTCAATCACAGAACAGGCTACACATACTTTAAGGGATTTTCTGCTTTAGGGCATATGTGGCTGTTGGGGTATATATATATATACATATATGTATATATGTATATATATATATATATATCTATATATGCGGGCCTCTGATTTATCAACCCCGCTGCTATGAGGGAAATCCTAAAGAGCGGTCGTAGAATCCTGATCGCACCCTTATCAAACACGAAGTCGACACAAGGACTGCTAATGCTGTGTGAATTTACACACGGGGGGAACGATGTTTGGGAGTTTGCGGCATCAGGGAGTAGAGCGTTTGGGGCTCCAGGCTTTGCTGCTGTAGTGCCTAGGACATCTAGCAGCGAGGACGTACAGCGAGCGCAGATGTCCGGCTCACCCATCTTGTAACTCTTGCAGGTTTCAAAAAGTTGCTGTTAGCAACTGCACTCCTGTCCTTTTGTTTTGGTGTTCCTTAGGTATCATGTTTCATCTGTGCTATAGTATAAACCAAAACGCTTGTCAACTGCAGATCAGAGATAGCTTTTGTCTTGGGTCCAATCAAGGAGGTTGTAGTTTGAGTTTTACCACCGGCGTCGGAAACCCAAAACTGCGTGCCAGAGCTTTCCACGCCCATCACCTGAACCTTGCGAAGATTTGGAGCCCCACACCCTAAAGAAACTAATTGGTAAAGCCGAAAGGCCTTAGACCTCAAGGCTTAAAACAATGAAACCCTACAAAACTGGAGGCTTCCGACGCCATATCCGAAAGTCCAAACCAACCCTTTCAAACCTCATGAACTCTTTAGTATTCAGGCGCGAGGTGCTCCGAAAGTGCAGCGATTTCGACAAGGCTCGGGGAGACAGGGCATGACAGGGCTCATTGGCGCCTTGAGGTACGGTAGAGGGGGTCGGAAATCGCGATACTCACAACGCGACACCCAGAAACTAACTTGAACAAATTAGTCATTTCGGGACTCGGGGGTGTCGTGTTGAGGGTTTAGTGCTTAGCCGTCCTTCCAAACTGTCAGAAAGTCGGCTGGCGGGATGTTTAAGTAAGTTTAGCAGTCCTGTTCGAACTATTCAGTCCGAAGAATTGAAGAGAAGCCAGCTACCATTGCAAGCTTACACCCCAAACCCCACACCTGTGCCTCGAAACTCTGCAGGTGTAGGCTATGACACCCCAGTGACTACAGCAATTGCTGAGCACTCGATTCGAGTGGGGTTGCCTATCCCCCCATGCCGTCCTAAACTACACTTCAAGCCTAGCATCCCCAAACTCTTGTCTCATGACCCCTAAACCCTGCGACCCTACCATAGAAGCCTGTACAGCTCGTACGCGAGCATGAACCAGGCGCAGCACTATCTGAACTGGTTCCACCAGAACATGGGGAAGATTTGCGCTCAGATTCAACCCAACCTTTTGCGGTCGTTTGGAGTTTAGGGCCTAAGGTGTTGAGGTTTCAGGTTCAGGGCTTTTTGGCTTAGAGTGGTTCTTACTAGGTTTCATCGCTTGTTGAAATGTATTTGTATTTGCAGATTCTATGAGGCGTAGGGCTCCTGTTTCAGAAATGTCCCACGGTTGGTTTTGATGTGGTGTTGGGCGTTCCAAGACTACTTCAGGTGTACATATAATGGTTTCTGGCCTCATCGAGTTCCGTCGCAATGCAGAAGGAACATCATTTGACACGATCCTACACACCCTGGCGCGATGTGGCGTCATCCAAACATAGGTTGTCAGCAACTGTGCAGGAAGAAGCTTTAATATAGGGGCCTTAATAATTACCTATACTATGCTTGGGGTTCCGTATTATAAGCATCGTATAATCTGCCCCTAAAGCCCATTCTAATCATATCGTTAAGGCCACTATATTACACCTTAAAACCCCCAAGGTAGGTTCACAAGGTAGGTGTAGCGGCGCGTGTGCCGCTCTCGTGCGCCGACCAGAATCAATGTCAAGTTGTTTTAAACATGTTTCGCAATGGCTGAGCTCTTCATCTCTTGGGTTCTGTCCAGCCTTGTTGTGAAATGTCTATCTGCTAGTACACATGAATCTTCTGACGTCATACTCGTTACCAGTTACTAGTTACTAAAAGGATGTTTTCATTGGAGACTAGGCATCGGCGCTCACGAGCGCGCTTTGAAAATCCTGTGTGATGGAGTTCACCGTGGTGGCCTTTGTCGTGACAGCCTGCTCCTCCCTCCTGCTGCACTTGAGCATGCGCTCGAAGAGCAAAATGCCGGAGGCAAAGGAGGCTAACCTTAACGCAAGCTCAGCATGTCTTTCACTCCTTCGAACTGCCGCTGGTCTTTTTTCCGATGGACTTCTTGTCATTGTTGTGATGGTGACTGGAGTATTGGTTTGGACATCTGGCGGCGCAGCCGGCGAGATTGCCGCTGCACCAGTCGCTTGGAGCCTGCTGGCGCTGCACTTGTCCTGCGCATGGTTGTCCGGGCATGTCGAAAAGACATGTTGGAGAGCCTGCAGTGTTGGATTATTTTGGCATTTCTTGGTGATCACATGCATGGTTCTTCCATGCGGCAGGGATGGCGATGTTCTTGGCCTCCCTTGTTTGAGCCTCGTGCTTGTTCCCTGCAGTGCAATGCTGCTGGACTACCAGAGCACTATGCTGTTAAGTTTGGTGAGCACTGGGACGGCAGCCTGCTGTCACGTGTCCAGGGCCTGGGGAGGGCTCGGAGAGCCGAGCTCCAGCTTCGACCGTTTGGTGCTTGCCTTGATCTTGGATGCTATGACCTTCTTTGCAGCCTTCGCTGCCGCATCTGCTCTTGCATTCTGGCAACAACGGACCGCTAGCCGCGAGTCTGCGATGCTTCGAGTGCTCACGGCCCTCTCTGATGCACAAGTCACGCTCGACTCAGAGTTCTTCGTCCTTGACTCCTCTGCGAAGTTCCATAACATAGTGCGCATGGATGCTTCAGATGCAAAGGCTATGCAGGTCTTGTCATTTCTTAGTTTTCTGCGCGACGAAGAAGAGCGACTCAGGTTCAAGAATTTCCTTGAGAAGTCGTCTGAACTGAGCCAGGCGTCACCAGCGGCTGCCCTACATCTCTCCATGCGAGATGCGGCTAACGAGCACATTGAGGTTGAAGTGTTCCACTCTCCAGTGGGCAAAAACATTCATTTCCTGGTGCTGCGAGAAGTTAGTCATTTGCGTGTGGCTACATCGTGCAAAATGACAACCGGCCTCGATCCACTTCCAGCTGTTCCAGACATTCAGAGCACAAAAAGTGGTTTGTCCAGGGCTGTGACGGCTAGCGATGTCTCGTGCTCGTCTGTGAGGGACATGCCCGAATTCGAGAAGCTTGTCCTAGATGTAGACGTTTCGGCCAGAAGGCTTGCAGTCAGGTCGGCAACGCTGAACTTCTCAGATGAGGGGGACATTCTGTCCTTCGTGGACTATTTGGAGCCTCGTGTTCGACGGCCATTTACAGAGTGGTTGAGGGTGCAGGCTGCGCAGGCGCAGGCGCCGCAGGCGGAGCCGCCGGCGCCAAATTCCAACGTCTTTGGCAGTCCACTTGACTTCCGAGTTTCTGGGGCAGTGTCCAGTCGGATGAGATCCATGAAAGTTCGCTGTGTGGGCCGAACAGGTCCAGGCCCAGAAGGGCAGGATGAAGGCGGCAGTCAGGCAACCGTCGGCGATGAGCTGAGTGAGGACAGCGATTCGGAGCTCAGCGCTTTGCAACGACTCGTTGATGAAGGTTTCGAGGACTTCGAGGGCATTGAGGAGCTCCTCGCAGCTCAGGAGGACGCTTTGGCAAGACGCTGCCTTCAGGTGCAGGCAAGGATCCAATCCTTGAAGGCGCCCCGACCAACTTGGACGAGGATTGAGCTTGAACAGTTCGTGCAACAGAGATAGAGCATGGGAATTAGCCAGGGAGCTTTAACCCGGATAGTGATCTAGCAAGGAAAAGGAATGGTGCTTCCATTCGTCTTTCCGGAGGCAAGGGCTGCAGTTGCATCCCTGCAAGTGGACATGCGAGCAACTAAATTCCACGGGTCCTTCAACGTCCTGCAGTTGTTGCCTCTGGTTGTTTACTTGTGTGCCGTAGAGGGACTGAAAGCCTTCCGGCTTTGAGCTGGTGCATGGAAACGTGTGGAAAGAACATGTGGAAAGACGAGCTGAGAGGGTGACATGATTGTCGCTGTCGTACTTTGGAGTGCATGAAGCTTCTCAAACAGTTGTTTATCCCCGCCGTCGAAAACCCCCAGAAGCCCTAAAGTCTCCTTGGAAGTTCCTAGGCCTGATGCAGCCGGTCGGGTGCTGACGTTGGAGGAAGTCACGGAGGCGGGCGTTTTGGGCTCAAGGCATAGAGTTTACACGGTTTCGTTAAGGCTCGGTTGGGGGGGAAGGCTTTGGGGTGTACCTCGCTGCGGAGGTCTGTTTTCCGCATGGGTTGAGGATCCCTTTTGGGTCATATAGAGGTTAGGGAATATAGAGCTTCCAAGACAAGAAACAGCACGAACGTTTCCTTGAACTGTTTTATTCAACGCGCCCCATGCCGTAGTTCTATAGTTGATTTGGGTATTACCTCTTGTCAAGAACGGCTCCAGACTACTGGCCTCCTCCGTTGAGGGCTTCAGGGCTTCCCGGGTTTGAAGTCCTAGGACGTACTGGTATTCTACCGCCTCTGATACAGGCTTGGGGGGTTCTTCCAACATGGCGCCTTTCCTTGTGACCCACAACTTATGAGCTGAGAGTTCTAGGTGTAGTGGAGTTTGGGTTTTCAAGGGTTGCGGGCATGGGAGAGCTGATCGATTGTAATGCGGCACTTGCTAGGCCCGTACCCTTGCTGCGGCTGATGATGAACAAAGGTGATGATAAAGCGGTGATGATGCCACATCGCTACTGCTGTTGCAGCTACAAGTGGAGCTCCTGCGAACTCGACGATGTCAAGACTACTCCCACAATCGCCACCATTATCACCACGACCCACACGCAAGCTTGGTACAACTTACTACATGCCGCTACTTTATCCTTACCATCCTGCCGCGCGAAGCGGAAGCATACAGCCCTAAACCCTAAACCCTACAGCAGGTCGCAGGAAACCTCATAGCATCCTCAGGGGCCCGGCCTTGAACCTGAATTGTCTGATTGAGAGCGTCATTCACGAATGGCAGGCGCAGCTGCGAGTCATGCAGTTCTTTGAGGAGGCCCCGGGTGCCTGGGTCAGATGTTCTGAGAAATTCAATATAATTTGAAGTTCAACTTGTCCGCATGGCCTTCTTCAGAACGAATGAATGACTCTGTAGATGTTTGTCTGAGTGTGCACATGTATCTATTCAGTTTTCATTTCTAAGTTTTTTGGTGTTGGAAGAAGCAATGTTGGCGACAGCAGAGCAACAGCAGCCGTTCGTGTGCCAGTGTGTGAATCAGTCTTCACAATGGCACATACAGGCTCAACCCCACACTCTACGGCATAAGCCGTTTCGGCCCTTTACTTGGCCATGAAGCATGTAAGCCTTAAGCCCAACACTTAGAAGCCTTTGAGCCCTAGACCATGCAGCCTGCACAGTATGTTGCGTAGTCCCTTTTCGTAGCTTAAACTGACTTGTATCTACGAGTACCTCGGCAGATGTTCTTGAACGTTCTCGTCTTGTTGAACGATCTTGTTGAGCGAAGGTAAATTACACATAGATACGATTACGCGAATAAACACTGGTAAATGACCTGTTTAAGCGAGCCTTGTCTGGGCCGCAAACCAGGTAAGACTTGTTTTGCTTTCGGTAGCTAGGCGAAAGTCTCAGGGTCCGCCTCGGAACCCTATCCACTGAAGCTCAGGCCCCATCTTGCATCGCAAGCCCCTCTTTGTCTTTCAAGGGTTTTCCAGTTTTGGCTGCGAGCTCAGAGCTTGGGATCTGCAGCATAGATCTATCAGGCTCAACAACATGTTTTCGCTCTTTAGCCATCTTGCCCCAATCGTTGTTGGTTGTTTATCGGGCCGATCTCGCAAAAGTGCCTCTGCAAACAACACAACCAGGTAATGTTCCACACCGCCCCGTGTAGTAAAATCCCTTGAACCCTAAACCCAAAGCCCTAAACCCCAAAACCCCAACCCCTAAACCCTAAACCCTAATGGTGCCAGGGTGGTGGAAAGAAGGACTCCAGCAGCAGCGGTCGCCCCAGAAACGGAGTTCAGTTATCCGACACCCCACACCCTGTATCCGAAACCCCGCCACCCTATGTTGCCCTCATACCCCATTCTCCCTACCGTAAAGCTTAACCCCTCAAGCTAGTTCCCAAAACTCTGTATGATTGTCTCACTCCCGAAATTCCAAACCTTTGGGCTGTGCAAGGTTTTTCAATACAATTTGGTCTCCTGGGCGGTTTTCGTCAAAACAACGCCCGGGTCGCCATGCAGGTCCCCTTGCAAAGGTTGGCTTGGTTAGGTGCGTGGGGCGATCATACAAGGCTGGAGCTAGCACGATCAGGTTTCTGACACGGTCTCCAAACACCAGATGCTGGGATGTCGGAGACGATCCCGGTAGGAACCCGGAGCTCTAGCAAGGCTGGCAGCTCCTTGTCGCAGCCCCGTACAGCGATAGCACTTTCAAGCTGGTTGGTTTCCAGGCACGAGCAGAACGACTGGATGCCGTTTTCAATGGATGTGCTCAGTGCATCTTGGGCTGGCTATTGGTGGGCATGCGCTGCTGGTGACGGTGTGAGATTGGTCATTTATGTTGACCACCTCCTTGCTCTATTCCCGCCCTCGGTGGCTCCCTACGTCCAGAAACTGTAAAGCAATTCGACTTGCAGGCTTTGGGCACCTGGCCACATCGACACAGACAACATCGACAAAGAATCTGAAGATGCCTACGTGGAAGTTCGCTTGGCCATTATCCGCCAAGATATGCGCCAACCCTCCGGCGTTCCAGGCGCCAATTGAATGATAATTCGCAGAGCTCTTGAATTGAATCTCCAGCTGTGTGTGAATGCTCCAACTTTCTTTGCGAGGGAGTTTCAATTACAGGAGCTTGTCGAACAGAGACATGTTATGAATGATGTGAGGAAGCGGTTTGCTTCCTGGAGAATGTCGATGACACGAGCCTGACGAACAGAGAAGCGTAATCACATGAGCCTTGACGCCCTCTACATGCCTGCCTTTGTGTGATGCTTGCCATGGCCATGAGAGTGCCACTGTCCTGGCATAAGCTTCAGTTGAACAGCTCACTCAAGTCAAGTGGATCGGCAGGGACAGTCGGTTAGTGCCGCGCCATGTCGCCCCTTTGCCGGTGGACAAGCGTGATGCTCTGCTGAGTGGGTTGCGCCCGCTTTGTGCAGTCGGGGCGAGGACTTGTCGCCGTGACCTTTGGAAGCTCGTTGGGAGATAATGCTGGTTCACGACCGGCTGGCTGAAGCCTCGGCTAAGTGTTTGGTTTCAGGCCCCGGATAAGCCCAAGATGCGTCTGCAGTGTCTACACCAAGAGCTCCTGAGCATGTCAGACGGCAGACTCGTGACTCTGTCTCGTTGCCGCATGTCTGATGTTCAGGTAGGGTGGCGCGTGGCCGAGATTTGGAACCAGGTTTCAGTTTGACCAGGTCCTCTGTGCCAGGTGCAGTTGCTTCAAGCACCATCAGCTGGAATAAGGGTTATTGCCAGCAACCGCCCGGCCCGCCCCAAGTGAAAAGGGGCATTTCGGGTGGCGCATGCGCCCGAACATGTAGGGCCCCACTGCCAGATATCGCCGGAATGAACCGGACTCATTCAGCCAGTCATACTCACTTATCGCCAAAACTCTGACCATGTGCACAGCGTCTTGAGCTTCCCCTGTGTGTGGCGTTGAGAATATTTGATGTGTGATCGGTTTCGGCGCAGGGGTTCAGTCTGGTGCGTATGCCACAAAACACGTGTGTTAATATCAAGGTCCCTAGATTAACCTTACCATCGACCCTAAGCCCTAAACCCCAACGGCCCGAACTCCCTATACCTTGCATCCCAAAATACAAAGCCCTGACCACAAACCCTGCAATCCACAAAATTAGGGCTCAGGGGGTTTTAGAGTTTAGAGTTTAGGGCTTACGGGTGGTTATGCTTTGGTTGCTGGGCTTCGGGGAGAGTGTTCGTCACCGGCGACGTTTCATCAGAAGGACCCATCGGGCATCCCAGGAACGCAAAGCACAAGTGGACCCCATATCAAGGAAACTTTTGCGGGCATCCAGTGAGGAACGTTTGGATCTTGTGCTTGATCCGGGCACTCGAAAGTCCCGTGGTCGTGCTTCCTTGCGTCACGGGGATGTAGGTTTCGGCCTTCTTTTTAAAAGGTTCTCATGGCTTTAATCCCAGTGGTCATGAGAGCTAGCCCGAAAAACTCCAAAACCTAAACGTCCCTAAGCCCGCCAAAGACGTTCATTTTGGCGAGCAAGACGGCCAGAATTCAAATCAACAAACCGGAACCCCCAAGCCCTAAACTCTGACTACTTGGTGACCCTATCACCGGAAAGTCGCTATGCCGTTCTACACCACACCTCAAGTCCAAATTGTGTGCCCGAAAGAACCCAAAGCCCTTTCATTCATAAATGTGCCCACTTGGAGGTAAAAAGTTTTCCGGTTGAGGGAATAAGGTTTATCACGCTGGTTCCAAAACTTTTTCCCCAACCTCATGGGTTCATCGTGCTCAGGTGACGCGTCCTCGTCTTCATCCTACAAACCCCGCCGCGGCCGCCCGCCTTGTGCCCAGCATTTCTTGCTTGAAGCTGGGGCGGAGGTTTCGAAGTTTACGGTGCAGGGTTGAGTTTCGGGGTCGGAAAATCAGGAAAAGGGTCCCCATTAAGTGATTCCCAGATAGCATCATAGTTTACTACACCCCCCGGACCCTATTCTAACTATTGCGGGTTGTGTAGCATCCGCACAACGGTCT